TTATTCGAAATTCGTTTATTGTAAAACCAAGAAAACCAAGAAATAAGCTCTATTTTTTGAAAATTAAACGATTCCTTTTAGTTAAAACTTTAAATATTTACGTTAACTATTTGAAAAACAATTTAACTATTGGGTTGGTGAATTGAAAACTGCGGGACTTTGAACTAAAATTTATTCAACATAAAACGATCAACTCATTCCAAATAATTTCCATTATTATTGACGACTTCTGCCCATTTTACAGGCAATTTGCGGATTCCTCTTTCGTAGTAGGGTTTTGGTTTTGAATCGAAAAACTTTCAAAGCCAATTTTTGACTGCTTCTTCCGAATCGAAGTGTTCTCCCGCAAGCTCATTACTCATGATCCGGAATAAATATTAATCAAAAGAGGCGAGGTCCGGACCGTATGGGGAATGCGCCAAAAGTTCCCAAACAAGGCTATTTATTTTAGAGCGAGTCAGTTTTGCTGAATTGAATCCGGCAGTTTTCGAACTGCCGGAATTGAATTGAAAACTGCCGGACTTTGAACTAAAATTTATTTAACATAAAACGATCAACTCATTCCAAATAATTTTCATTACTATTGACGACTTCTGCCTATTTTACAGGCAATTTGCGGATTCCTCTTTCGTAGTAGGGTTTTGGTTTGTGTGTGAGACAAGTGTGAGACTCAAAAATGGAGGACTGGAGATGTCCCAATTTGAGCACTTTCTTCAAAAAAAAACCCATTTTTGTGTCAATAGAAAAGTTGTAGAGAATCAAAAATGAGGCTTCTAGCCAAATTTTCAAAAAGATACACTTAGTAGTTTCGCTTAAAATGTTTTGTGAAATGCAAGTTTTGTGAAAATTCGTAAATTTTGCATTTCTTGAAAAGCAGTTTTTGAATCGTTCTGAAAATTTGGATATAAGCTTAATTTTAGATTCTCTACAACTTTTCCATTGACACCAAAATGGGTTTCTTTTGAAGAAAGTGCTCAAACTGTCACATATGACAATAGCCGGCAGTTTTCAACTCACCAACCCAATAGATTGAGATTAGCCTTCATTTGAGGAGGAGTCAATGTCCAATTTGAGGATTCGGAGGCGGCCAGATCAGTTTCAAATCAGGGAGAGGGACGTGGCTTGTGTAAAAGCCCTGCGCCAGACGCCGAGCGATTATGCGGCCGCACAAAGAACACACAGAACAAACAAATTTTAAGTTAAACTACTAAGTGTAAACACTAGTAAACACACCTCTATTGTCCTGATCGATTTGAATGACTAAAGAAAGCTAAAGAAAGCTAAAAATCGGCTACAATATCTTTGCCCAGCTATCGTAGCAGCCCAACTAGCTGATCCATAAATTGCCCATTCCCTAATTTCTGATCGCTTCTCAATGCCCATTCATTTCTGAACCCTTGTGAGTGATGACAATCGCTATCTTTTTCCATCTTTCTATGACGATACCAATTCGCTTGAAGTACTCAAAAAGACAGAATATCCAAATGTTTTCCCAAAAATTGCATGAAAGCTTTGGCAGTTGACCACGAGTAGGCAAAGAAAAAATGTAAAAGAAAGGGTCAATCTGGGATTTTTTTTCCCTTTTTTCTTATTGTAAATGATCGATCAGCTTGTTTTTCGAAGAAAAAAAACATATGTTTTTTCAACATTCCCTCAGAGATTATCCATTCCCCCCTATCACTTTTCTATGTTTTTACTGCTTTTCCCATTTTCTTGCTTTTCCCAAAAAAGCATTAAATCCTAGAGTAAAACTAATTATTTATCTAGTAAACTGGCTGCTTTCCTTCGTTCAAGGGATTCCTAATTTTGAAAATGTTGAAAATTTTCAATTTTTTTCAACTATTAAAAGGTCACGCAAGGTCTCTTTGACCTAAGAAAAGACCCACGAAATTGAAGTGAAAGTTCGAGATTGGAATAATTAAGTTTTTGGGTGAAGAGGAATGGATTATGAAATAGAATATGTAATAAAATATGAAATCAAATATGAAATAGAATATGAAATAGAATATGTAATGAAAAGGTCAGAAATTGAATGTCTGAAAATAGAAATGGGAAATACATGGATTGATGTCTTGCGATTGATGGAATTAGGAGCATTTTTCGATCAGAAGACTCTAAAAAGGAAAAGGAAAACATCGAGTTTTTTTGGGGAAAAGGAGATCGCTATTTTTTAGCACTAAATTTTATTCGAATCCTAGATTTTCAGTGGCGAAGAGTACGATTTGGAGATTGCCATTTGCAAAAAAAAAAACAAATGACTTCTTCATTTCGACGTTTCAATGGTATTCCGTCCTGAAGTTGGCTTACTGTAGTAAGCAAATTCTTGCTGTAGCTTACTGTAGTATGCAAATTCCAAGAGTTACAGTATTTCCTTTTCCTAAAAGAATTCACATTTTTTTTCCACTTTTTCATTTCCTGGATCATTTTGCTGATCATCGCGTTCACTTATTTGCAAAAGTCGAACGCTTATTCATCGAATAACTATAGGTGTTTAATCTCTTTCAAGATTCAAACAAAATAGTTATAAATCTTTAAATATTTATCAAAAATCGGGGAATTTCTAGAAGAGGATTGACCTAGGGGATTTCGAAAGTGGTCATCTGCCAGTGCCAAGTGGAAAAACATTCTTCGGCAATGAGGGGGAGCGAAAATCCTATCAGAAAACGAGGTCATTCAATAAAAGCTCATCAAGATCATCGTAAGTACTTGTTTGAAAAAGAAGATATTAGAGTTGAGTGTTTGTGTCAGAGAATCGTTTATCAGCTGATATTGGTTCGAAGCTCAAAGCGCACAAATGCAAAATACCAAAAAAACGGGAGGAAAGTCTCTTTTAACAAAAATTCATGACAAGATGGCTGGATTTATTTCGCAATTTTTCGAAGAACATTTATAGGATTTAGAAGATTTCGTTTTCTTTTACTGATTCGAATAAAATGAGCTAAATAACACCAAAAAAAATACTTTATTATTGTTTCAAACAGCCCAAGTAGACCTGCATAACGAGTTCGGGTAAAATTTTCAGACAGTCTGCCTTGCTCTTCGATTCTTTTACTGCCCAAAGCTTCTTCAAGCATGAAATCAAGTTCCTCCGCAAGCCCTTATTCTAGGCTTCATTTTGATACTAAACATGGCTAGGTTCTGTTTTGCCATTCTTTAGATTTCGATCTTTTTCAATAAAAATCTTTCTGGACTCGTCAACCTTTTCGAGTCCAGAAAGATTTTATTGAAAAAGATCGAAATCTAAAGAATGGTAAAACAGAACCTAGCCATGTTTAGTATCAAAATGAAGCCTAGAATAAGGGCTTGCGGGGGTACTAGGTTTCATGCTCGAAGGAGCTTTATTTAAATCCTACTGTATTTGGTAAGTCGTTGACCAAGTTCGCAACATCTCAAGTTCTCCCTTCCGCAGATCAATATTTGAAATTCTTTTCTTGTTCTTGTCTTGTTCTTGTCTTGTTCTTGTCTTGTTGTTGATAAAAGAAAACCCGTTTCTTTAATAATATGATAATATTGTTTCTAGGAAAAGCCTCAATCTCGGGAAAAAACCTAGGAAAAACCTCAAAAGATTTTCCTTTCTTCAAAAAACAAGCACTTCCGCTTTTCAATGATGAGCATAAGTATTTACACTCAAAATTTACAAATAATTCATTGCTGACGAAAAAATCTCAAAATTATATTCCTGGTCCATAAAGCAAAGCACGAAAAAAGAAAAAAAAAAGATTTTCTGAGATTTTGAGTCATCCAAATGTTCGTCACAAATTGTAGAAAATAACAAAAATTATCTAAAGGCTTCAAAACAAAGCTAAGGTTCGAGTTTGATTTAAAAAGTGATTTGATTTGTTTCAGATTTGATCCACGACCTTCGCAAGAACAATTTACTAACCACTGCGCCAACGATTAGTGTTTTTGACTGATCAGGATTTCTAGTTCAACAACCACTGTGCTCAGCTTCATTTACTCGAAAACCTTTCCAATCACTTTTTAGCATACTCCAAGCGAAGAAAGAAGAAAGAAGAAAGAAATCAAAGTGGAATCGCGAGATTTTTGGTAATTTGAGAAGAGTCTTAATCATCTTGAGGTTAATCTCCACAGGATTTTTTTCAGAAAAGTGGAATCTACCAATGGGGAAGAAAAAAAAGCAAAAGAAAGGCTTAGCAAATCGCTTGTTTAACAATAACAAGTTTTTCGATTTTTTAGAAAGGTCGACTTGTGGTGGTTTAGATTACAAATGGATTTTGGGGAGTGAATGGAGTTGTGAAGGGTTTCAGAGGAGCAAAATAGTTTTATGATCTTGTCTGTAGGTTGCGGAATCTTTTCAGATCAACGTCATCTTTTCAACTTGTTTTTGCTTTTTAGCTGATTGTTTGGTCTTTTAGTTTTTTTTTTTTTGGAGATCTTGGTTTTTGTGTAGTCAAATGCAGCTGTGACTTGCTTTCAAAGTTTCAGTTGGATTCTCGTGTACAGTTGTATTCTTGTGTACAGTTGGATCCTCATGTACAGTTGTACTCTTGTGTACAGTTGGATCCTCGTGTACAGTTGGATCCTCATGTACAGTCGTATTCTCTTGTACAGTTGGATCCTCGTGTACAGTTGAATCCTCGTGTACAGTCGTATTCTCTTGTACAGTTGAATCCTCGTGTACAGTTGGATTCTCTTGTACAGTTGGATCCTCGTGTACAGTTGGATCCTCATGTACAGTCGTATTCTTGTGTACAGTTGAATCCTCGTGTACAGTTGTATTCTTGTGCAAAGTACTCATGTACTTTATACTCAAGTATGAAAACCAAGTGCACTAAAAAGAATGCGTTTAGCTTTTTGAACACAAAGTACACTAGTAAGAGGAGCAGAGCCTGCTCAAGCTGCTCAAGCTTCAGCCCCTTTTTCCCTACAATATGCCAAGATAAAACTATTGGCTTCTTGACTCAATACCTGTATCCCTGTAGTGAAACAAGAATTTTAAAATACTCTTTGATCTAGTAGGAAACATTTTCAACTCCAACCTGATCAATCCCCTCATTCCACAGCCGATCAACCGCTTCTCCCGGATGTTCACATTTCCACCACGCGAATCTCGCCATTTCGCCATTCATTTGTCTTTCCCAAATCTCAATCGACTTGAGCAAAAGGATCAAACGGAAAGCCTCAATTTGAGTGAAAGGTGGACCCAATGAATCGTCGTCGATCTGGAAGTTGGATTATTTGAAGGATCTCTGACTTTGCAAAGCTAAAGTTGTAGTCAGAATTTCTATAGGAAATGTGTATCGGTTATTTTGGTCTTAGATCGAGTTAGAAAAGCTTTGTGCATCTTTTAGAAAGTGAGTCTAATCAAAACTTGCTTAGGAAACGCTAATTTACCCGAAAAAAAGGTGTTATTTTGCTTATTTCTCGTAGCTTTCGGGTTTAAGCCGGATGTATTTTGGTTTTGTTGAGAATTGAGAAAAGATACTATGAATGTGGGTTTTAAACTACATGTGTTTTGATGGAAAAATGATCACGATTTTCGGTTAGTTCATTTGAAATCGCTAAAAGACTCACGAATTTGCAAAAATCCTCTAATTTTTGTGAAAAGTCGACGAATCGTTGCAGTGCTTGGTAGCGTTTGAGAGCAGATTTGAGCTTCTGAAATGAAATGGAATGGAATGGAATTGGATTGGATTGAATTGAATTGAATTGAATTGAATTGAATTTAATGGACGTGGGAGAAATGCGACCTTTTTTTGCGCACCCGGACATTTGCGCACCTTTTTTCCGCATCTTTTTTTAAAAAAGCTCTAAAAAGCTAATATTAACCAATTTCTATTCCAAAAGTTGTTTTTCTAGGTAATTTTAGGGCGTAGAATCGAAATTTTGACATATCAGAGCTTGTGGAAACAAACGGACGGAGTTATACAAAGAGAAAAATCGACAATTTTCTTTAATTTTATCTAGCCGTTTTGTCTTTCAAATTGGTTCCACACGCTCTGTTATGTCAAAATTTCGAATTCGACGCCCTAAAATTACCTAGAAAAACAACTTTTGGAATAGAAATTGGTTAGTATTAGCTTTTTAGAGCTTTTTTAAAACGCGAAAAAAGGTGCGTTAATGGGCAAGGTGCGGAAAAAAAGGTGCGCAAGTGTCCGGGTGCGCAAAAAAAAAAGGTAGCATTTCTCCCACTCCCATTCAATTCAATTCAATTCAATTCAATTAAATCATCTATTTCATGCTTTAAACTTTGTCTAATAATTTTTTTAAAGTATTCAGAGTCAAAACTTTGATCAAATTTTATTTGTGAAGTTGAAAGGGTTTTTACAAAACCAAAAAAAAACATTGAGAAGCTTATAAGGTTTAGAAAGAAAAATGGGGTGAGGAATGGAAGAAAGATGAGAAAAAAAAAGAAAACTGAAGTTTAAAAGAACAAAACCAATTAGAAATTGATCTAGTCTGATAGAGTGTAGCAGCAAGTACCGTAATCCATTGATACTATAGTACGGCAGCTTAAGCAAGCAGCATTCTCTCAGTGTTACAGCATTCTCTATGCTCAAATTTTCGGGAACACTATTTGCCGCAAATTTGGCTGTACCTTTTGCTAAAAAATTCTGCATTCTGTCTAGCTGAGACACTAAAAATCTTCGAAATGTTTCAATCTTTATTCCTGGCAAGCCGACTCTTTCTGACTGGATTAGTTTTCCCATTTTGACACGTATTTACATTTACAAAACTTTCCTACAACCTAGTTTTCACGACATTTCCACGCTCTGGCATTTAGCTTTTTTCATCTCTTTGACCCGGATTGGAAATTTCTCGATCTAACGACTGACTGGACTTTATATTTTTCCCTAACTCGAAAGCAGTTGTTGTTGATGGTTGAAGAAAAGGAGAAGGGGAAATGGTGACCTTTTCTGAGGAAAATGGAAGAAATTCCAGACATAAAGGATTTTTAGGCCAGGAAACCGATAGGCGGAGAAGCAAAAAATTTGAGTCGAAAGTGGGGCGCCAACCCCGGAAGCCGATGTAAATTACACGCTTAATTTAGCGTCAACTTTTTGATGTCTGAGAAATTCTGTGCTCAGAGTTGAGATAGATCTGAAGCTGTTGAAGAGAAGATGACGACTTGGTGAAGGCTTGAATTGCAAGGCTTGAATCTAAATCAAGCCTGCATCTAGATTGGTCCTGTATTAAATTTGGACCTTGGGCCTGGCCGATCCTAGGCCTTGAGCTTGGCTGACCCTGGATCTTGGGCCTGGCTGACCAGGGCCAGCTTGAGCTTGATGCAGGATCGGCCTGGTACTAGTACAGAGCTCTGAACCTGAATCTAACTATAAGAGTCAACCATAAAACTAGAAACAGCTGTTGATTTACAGTTTGTATTAGATTCTTTCAATGTCGAGTTTATAGTGTAAAGATTTCAGTGAAGTAGAGCATTTTCTCAGAACACGTACTCCTGATCTTTCACTCCAATAGATTGACTAAAAATCATGTGGTCTTTCCTGATCCCTTTCTCTTTTCAACTTGACTCTTCTCCTTGAATTTTACTCCCTTTTTCTTCACTGGCTTCCAGCCAAAAGTCCAATCTTTTTTCATATTCAATTTGCGAATCTCATCGACTGCAAAAGGGGAAGAGTTCTCATGGAATGATGTCATTCACTCATCTCCCTTTGATTCCCACCCAGCACTCAGATGAACCCGATTTTTAGAGGAGAAAGGAGAGGGGAGTCTGACTCAAAGTTCGCTTCCTAAAAAGGTTAAGGAGTTACGGTAGCTGGATGGATGTTTTATAATACACTGTTTGTTTTATAATACTGTTTTAGTACACTTAAGAGACTTAAGAGAAGAGTACAGTAAAGAGTACAGTGTGGTACTGTAACTGAGTGTTTTATAGTAATAGGCTTTTCTTTAAACTTTAAAGTTATCCAATTTAAGTATTCAGCTCAAAGATATTGCTATTTTAAAGCTCTTTACTTGTTCATTAAGGCTTCTATTTTTAGGCGAAATCTTTCGCGAAATAAAATGGTTTTCTCTTCAAAATTCTCTTGCCCAAGCCTCGTCCTCTCCCTCATTTTCGCCATTTTCTGGACGGCACTTTCTTTTTAGCTAGCCAAAAACTACAGTAGATCAAAAATGGGGAAAATTGAAGAAAAGAGAAATTTCAAATAAGTTTTCTACTGTTTTCTACTGTTTTCTATTGTTTTCTATTGTTTTCTACTGTTGTCTACTGTTTTCAACTGTTTTCTAGCATTTCCTTTGTTTTCTTAGATGGATATAGAACTATATGCTAGCTGAGAATGAGAGGGAAATCATCGTTAAGCAGCCTTTCAAAAATCTTCGTTAGCTTTCAAAAATCTGCCCAAACCCATCAATTAAATCGCGAGGGAAACGAACTAAACTTATAGTAAACAGAAGAAAATATTGGTTTGCAAAGGTTGCGATGAAAAATAGTGAGATCTTTCACAGGTCACGGTCACTAACAATGACTAATCGTTAGGAATGGGGAAACGTAAAGTGACGTTTCATTCAAAAAAAGAAAGTACTACGGTGAGCGGTTTTTCTCAAGACTCGAGAGTGGCTGAAATTTCGATACACAGGAAATTGTCTTTTGAGTCTTTTGACTCTTTTGATGGGGGTTTTTTTTGGAGGGGAGTTTAGAAGTCTGAATGGAAATAGGACTAGACCTGGGGGAAGTCTTGAATTGAGGATGAAAAGGAACGAATTCCACACAGGCACACACTTGCTTACTTCAATTTCCTTTTTTTGAGAAGTGAAGAAGTGCCTTGATTCATTTTACGCAATATAGTCCGGAGTCCGAGGATGGGGAGTTTTGGGAATGAAAATTTCAGAGAATCGAGAAGTGGAAACTTCTTGTAAACTTGTAAACTTCTTGTAAATAAACTTTTCAAAACTTAAAAAACCTATTGAAAATTGGTTCTATAGATGGGTTTCTTGAAATTTGAAAGAATTTAAATGTTGAAAGAATTTTCCCCTCAAGATTTTACTACTATTGATCCAGATAATTGATCCAGAAGGAATCCAAGAGTCTCTTAGTTCATGAAAACGACTGCTTAGTCATCATCGGTGCTGCCTAGATTTCCCTGTACTGCCTAGATTTCCCCGAAAGCTCTGGGTCAAGGACAAGAAATCCCTAGTGAAAGCTAAGCCTTGGGAAACAGTTGATTTCCCCCAATCATTGGAGAAAAGTCAACGTTCGAGAGATGGGCGGGGAACACGGAGAAAATATGGCGAAGGGCAATGTCCAGCTCCAAGATCCCTCCCCCATCAGCCGCTTTCTCCCAGAATACCCCTCCCAGCCTCTCCTTTCCTCCTCCCCCTTTCCATTCCATTCTAAAGTCACGCCCCTTTTTTCACCCCTCCGCCCCCCGGAGGCATTTCCATTTAAGACCGAGGCCCTCCTCACCAATCGCTCATTTCTCACCTCGCATTCTCTCACAGAGGTCATTCTCTGAGCTTTCCCAACTGAAACTCAGTTTCTGCACATTAATTCTCAATAAAATGGTTTTCTCTTCAAAATTCTCTTGCCCAAGCCTCGTCCTGTCCCTCATTTTCGCCATTTTCTGGACGGCAACAAGTGCTTTGACATGTCTCGAGTCGGATGATGAGGTGAGTCTTAGAATTCTTCTTTTGATCATCATTTAATCATCATTTAATCATCATTTTCTTATCATTTTCTTTAGGGTAACTTCTATCCAGTCTACAATTCGACATGGAAATATTGTGTGTTGTTGCCGCAAAGTGGGGACAAACCAGCGCAAGCTTACGGAGCACAGCCGGATATCGAGTCCTACTTAGTGGCAGATCGAGCGTTCGCTGAGTCGCTCGGCCCCGAGTACACCGTGCTCACCTTCTGCGTGTTCGAGGTTCATTTTTCTTTTCATTTTCTTTTCTTATCGTCATTCTTCAGCGTTACCGAATGCCTTCCGTTCACGGTGTGATGATCAACAGCGAGCATTTGTTCCGATGTTACTGCAATTACGATGAGTGCAATCGACATCAGCACTTTTCCTCGTATCTTAAAGGACTCCGAAAGGATAATCCTTAAGTGTTTCGTTTTCTTTTTGGCATTTACACACATTTCCAATTCACTAGCTACTAGCTTAGGAAACGTTAGGTGGAAAATTTTGTCCTAAAAACCTATTGCGGGTACTGTAGCTCTGTAGTGTTGATCTTAATTGTTGATCATAGAAAAAGCTACAGTACTTGAAGAAAGAAAGAGAAAAAAAAACCTAAAAGACAATTCCTTTTCTTGCTAAAATTTGCCTTTTGCTTATCTGCATATTCCCCAAAAAAAAAATGCTTCTCTCGAAATCTCATTCTCCGTTTTCTCCGGGCCAACATATCATTCCAATTACAATGTGCAATCATTTCGAACGTTCTCATGATTCCTTTTCTCTCAATTAATCGAGCTTACAATTATGGGTGATGATAGGTGAATGGAAAAACTTTTCGAAAAACTTTAAAGTCATTGGTTTCTTTGTGCCGCTTTTCTTTTTGATGAGTTTCTTTTTTTTTGTTTTTTTTGAAGCTTGCCTTATTGCTGTGTTATATCCCCATAGCTTTTTTTTGTTAGCTTTTGGCTAGAAATTCTTATGTTTATCAATGGAAAAAAAAGTGAATTGCAGAAGAAAAAAAAAAGACAAAAATGGAAATGGAGAAACATTATTCGGAACTTCAGATGAAAATCGGGTAACCCATTTAGGCAGTGTCTTGGGCATATGCATAATTTCCTCTCTATAAAGTCTATAAGCTTTATAGAACTCTATAAACTCTATAAAGTCTATAGAACTCTATAGAACTCTATAAGCTCTATAGAACTCTATAAACTCTATAAAGTCTATAGAACTCTATAGAACTCTATAAACTCTATAGAACTCTATAAGCTCTATAGAACTCTATAAATTCTATAAACTCCCTATTCTTCCCCCAGAAAAAAGACAAAAACCAAAAAAAAATTGACCAAAAGAAACTTTAGGTGTTCTTCTTCTTGTTTGCGTGTGTGTTTGTTTGTGTTTCGATGTTGATTTTTATTGTTTTCTTTTTCTTTTTCTTTTTTTGTGAAATGTGAATATTGCTTTTAAAAAAACACATTTGATGATGATGTATGTATGTAAATTTTGGTGGCCGGGTGAATCCCCGAGAATAAATGAAATTTCTCAGAAATCTTCTTTAAGATACGGTATTAGAAAAAAGATTAGAAAAAGATTCGAAAAAAAAAAAACTATTAAAAACAAAACACTAAAACACATGTAATCCCGTCGGGATTTGGGGAAAAATAGTAAGAAAAATGTTATGAGAAATGTGTTCTCAGCGCTCAAAATACGATAAAATGGGGAAGAAATTGGTAAGACGCTCGAAACAAAGCCACGAGTTTAGTCAAACTTGTAGTCAAACTTGTTAACCATTAGGCTATGGAGTGCTTTTGTTTAGGAATTGAATATCCCTCTTAAATTGTGCAGTGTGAGAAATCGTCCGTAATCGAACCAAGCGTCAAACTTTGACATCAAATTTTTCACTCAACTATCAACTTACGGACTTATAAATCTCATTTTTCTTGTTCTTAAGAAGGAAGTTTGGTTTCTCTTTCTTGCTCTGTGATCTTATAAAAGTTAGAAATCTTATAAAAGACTTGAAAAAGACTTGAAAAAGTCGTCTGAAAAAGTCGTATGATAAAACAATTTTGTAGTGAAGCAGACATTTTGAGACTCTACGCCTTTAGACAGCCGCCACGTGGTGTCAGAGAAATTTATGAGCGCTTGCCAAAACTTTTTTCGTTTTCAATAAGGTTTCAGTAAGTTGTACGTAAAGTTTTTTAAAGTGTTCAAAACAATTGTTAGATCGCTGGATGGTTTGCTGTGGTCGGCTACAGTGCCGGTATGCCTGAATACTTTGCAAGACTCCCTACAGTAATCTTCTAAAAAAGAATCACAGAACAGCTTCTCAACTCATTCCTGATGTTCAAACCGATGCTTTTGAATCTTTATAATCTATTCCTGAATCTTTATAATCTATTTCTGAATTTCTAGAAGCTATTTCCGAATTTCTATTGGCTATTCTTAAAATCTATTTCTATAAACGATTGATAATTCAATTTCTATAATCTAGAAATTTATATTAAGCTATTTTTTTAGTTATTTACTATTTTAACAACAACTTCTCAGTGTCCAAACACTAAGAAAAAATGCTCGCTGTCGATCATCACACCGTGAGCGGAAGGCATTCGGTAACGCTGAAGAATGGCGATAAGAAAAATGGTACACAAATGGTTTAAAGCCCTCCTTTGATTTAAAAGTCACCGAAAAGTTAGCTTTAATTTTAACCAACCAACCGCTCACTTTAACTTTTATTTGATTTTCTTTTGCCAAAAACATAATACGTCAACGCTACTCAAGTGTAGTTTTCCACCGCAAAACACATGAAAAATATTTTTTTTACCCCGGGTTAGCTTTTTACCATGAATAGTTGCCTTTTTTTTTCTGAGGCGTGAACGAATTGGGTGCGGGAGAGCATTTTTATTTGGATTTTGAGCTTTTATTTGGATTTTGCGGGGGTAAGCAAAGAAATTTAGTTGAGAAAAATTGAAAATTTGAGCGGAAATGGTGTTCCCTTACGAAAATCGCAAGAGGAAAAAAAAGGGTTTTCAATAGAAAATTCTATTGGTGATTTGTTAGAATGGAGGTAAACAGCTGCTGGCGAAAATCCTGTGCGCATTTTGTTTGCTTTCTCCAAGAATATTTTTGGACACAATGGAGACATTTTTCAGTCTCTAGAAAGCTCAAGCAACGTTTAAAAGCCATCTTCAAGTCGTGGCGACCGTTGTGGTCGTGGCGCAGTGGTAGCGCAGTTGGCTGGAGAGCTGACGGGTCTCAGGGGTCTCAAGTTCGAGTCCGCTCGACTCTCTTCTGGTACATTTTGTTGGGTTTTTTTGAATGCTATGTTTGGATAAGTTTCTCGGTTGGTTACCCAATTAAGTTATGTAGCTGTAGACAAATCCGATCTCATAGAAAATCTTGCCCATTTATTAGAAAAAGGTAAACAGCTGCCAGCGAGAAGGTTTTCTTTGAAATATTTTTAGACTCCACTTTCAATAGAGGCGAATTCTCTGGGCTAAAATTGGGATCACAAGTGGCTTTGACCAAATAAAATGCGTTTTGAAAAAAGTGCTGTAGGGTATTAGATCTAATTTTGGGGGATGAATCTCATCTTTGGATGAATTGAGGGATTTGTTTGTGAGCTTTGTGTTTCGCTCTTCATAGGCAAAGATTTTCGATTTTTTTTTCTATTGCTTTTATCGGGTTTCCAGAGAGATTTTTTTGAAATGAGTGCTTTTTAAGTGAAAATTCAGCAGAAGAAAAAAAGTGATTTGCATAGTTTACAAGAAAGAAAATAGTGTTTTGACTTTTTGACTTCTGAATTCAAAAAATTGACTACTTTGAAAGCTTTCAACTTTAAACCACTGAATTCCAAAGTTTAAGTATTTCATTTAAGCTCGTGTCCTTTCGGCTCAAGCTGAATTTTTCGATTCTTCTTGTAATCGAAACAATTTCAGAATTCACTCTTTCACTCTCTAAGCCTGACTTACATGAGATTTTCTCTAGCAAAGTCGAACTTGATCTTGCTTTTCTGGAAAACTCAAAGGATGAAGAAACTCATCAACCTCTTCTAACCACATCAAACACAGATTTGAATTGAATATCTATTCTCAAATCACCTCAATCCCTGTTCAGTTCAACTTTTCCCTATCAATGTTCGTTTTCTTTTTCAAAAACAAAACTAACCCTTTCCCTTTCGAGATTTTTATAAACCAATTTTTTCCTCTTTTCCATTGCCCAAACTTTTCCTATAGTTTCCCCAACAAATGCCAAGTTTACTGTAAAGAAAAAAGTTTCTTTGGCTCTAAAAATGGGTTCACTTTGGAGAGAATTTCAGCTGCTATCTGAAACCAAATCAACTCAAAATAGGACTTGAGAAATGGAAAAGTTTCCCAAGTTTTCAGGTTTTTTTTTTCTGAAAACTGTAGGGATAAGCTGAATGAAATTCTACGAAATCATCCGATTTCCTAGATATTCATTTAAGAAATGGGAAAGAGGAAGAAAAGAGAAAGAGGAGAGGAAGAGGAGAGGAAGAGGAGAGGAAGAGGAGAGGAAGAGGAGAGGAAGAGGAAGAGAAGAGGAAGAAAAGAGGAAGGAAAGAGGAAGAAAAGAGGAAGAAAAGAGGAAATGACAGGGAAAGTGTTGAATCATTAAATGAAATGAAAAGAAGAAAGAGAATTTGGAGATTTGAATCACGAATCTTTTGACTAGCTTTGCGTTAGTCAAATCATTGCTTGATAATGAAACTTTTGAGGGCTTTAACACGAAATATTTGAACTTTAAATCTTAGAAAATCTTGAAAATATGTTAATTTGAAGTAATAAGTTGAAATCGAACTTCTAAGCTAAACTCCTCTAAGGTAAACTCTGGATTTTTCTTTAATCTCTCTTACCCTATCCAGCTCTTCATGAGTTAGTGTTGCCATTGATGGTAAATCGTGATAGATTGCTGATGAGAGAAATGAGGCAAGAAAGTTTTCACTTCCTTTACAACCATCACCAACTCGTCGAAAACCCTCTCGAGTATACAAGGATTGAATTTTCTGAAAGATATTCAAATAACTTTCTGAAGGATCTTCAAATAAATACAATGCTATTTGAAGCTTTAGAAAACAAGAGCTGTTTGCTAAAAAGTGGAATTGATTAGCTTTTGAAGACAGTAGAAAGTCAACTTTTTCGTTGCTATGTTGTTAGTAAACGAGTCAATTCCACAGGCAAAGAGTTCTTCTTTTCTAAATACAATGCTATTTCAAGAGAAAACAAGAAGGTGTTTGCTAAAAAGGTGGAATTGATTCGCTTTCTATAAAAGTCTCAAAATGTCAAAAGGTTTACTTTCTACTTTTCTACTACTTTTCTACTACTTCTACTACTTCTACTACTTTTCTACTACTTTTCTACTACTTTTCTACTACTTTTCTACTACTTTTCTACTACTTTTCTACTACTTTTCTATTACTTTTCTACTTTTCTACTACTTTTCATCTAACCACACCAATGTTATATAAAAGTTTTAAAGCAAGATTTACTTGTAATTGCTCTGAAAATCCCTACCCGAAAAGCTTTAGAGTGTGGCTGTAATCGTTCACACGCGAACACCATCGTGTCCCTTGTTTTCGTTGGTCGTCGACTCGTTTGTACTCTTCTCAATCGCCACTCCTGAAACTTTTTCGTTGCTATGTTGTTAGTAAACGAGTCAGGCAAAGAGTTCTTGTTGCACAGGCAATGAGTTCTTGTTTTCTAAATACAATGCTATTTCAAGAGAAAACAAGAGCTGTTTGCTAAAAAGGTGGAATTGATTCGCTTTCTATAAAAGTCTCAAAAATGTCAAAAGGTTTTTTTCTACTTTTCTATTACTTTTCTACTACTTCTACTACTTCTACTACTTCTACTACTTCTACTACTTCTACTACTTTTCTACTACTATAAGCTACTTTCTACTACTAAGCCTCTTCTCTTCCTCTTTCTACTATTGTAAAGCCAGCTTTTATAAAATTCATTTCCTTTAATTCCTTTTTTTGGATAACTGAATATCAGTGAGTTTCCAGAAAACTTTCAGCACTTGCAGATGCAAATTCTTTGAGATTTTTGATTCTAAATTTCATTAGCTTTCAATTTAAAAATATACCATTTGTCTCTTTCTTTTTCTAGAAATCTTTTCTTTTGTTTTATATGATCAACTCGATGATTTGTAGCGTAGAGGTACAAGTTCTACTTGATCACCTATTTTCTTCTTGACCAAAAAATCTCAGCCAGTAAATCGCTTAATCCGGTGGATCAGTGAATTGTTTTTCTCCAATCTCTTTGTGCATATAAATGCATAATTTCAGGCTTGCATAGATTGAGACAAAGGGTGACGTGTAAAAAGTGGATGAGTACGGGAAGGAAAATATGTCGCAGAAAAATGTCGCAGAAAAATCTCGTAGAAAATAGCGCACAATAGCGTTTGGTTATTATAAAAGATCTTTATAGAATAGTTATTCAAATGGAAGTGATTTTTGTCGATGTTTGTCGCTATTTGGATGTTCGCAAATGGATTAACAACTATTTGCGTGTGGAAAAGCGGAAAAATTCAAGCGGAAAACTTCAAAGTTCTTGGAAATTTCGTTTGCGTAATAGTCTAGTCATCGAAAATGGGAAAAAGTTTGAAATTTTAAAGAATTTTGACTATTGTCACGAAAGCTCTCATCATCTTTTATCACGTCATCTTTTAACTTTATTTAGGTCTTATTTAAGCATTATTTAAGCCTTATTTAAGTCTTTATTTAAGTCTTATTTAAGTCAAGCCTTATTTAGGTCTTATTTAAGCCTTATTTAAGTCTTTATTTAAGCATTATTTAAGCCTTATTTAAGTCTTATTTAAGTCAAGCCTTATTTAGGTCTTATTTAAGTCTTATTTAAGTCAAGTCTTATTTAAGCCTTATTTAAGTCTTTATTTAAGGCTTATTTAAGCCTTATTTAAGCCTTACTTATGTCTTATTTAAGCCTTTATTTAAGCCTTATTTAAGCCTTATTTAAGTCTTATTTATGTCTTATTTAAGTCAAGCCTTATTTAGGTCTTATTTAAGCCTTATTTAAGCCTTATTTAAGCCTTATTTAAGTCAAAAGTCAACATTTTTACATTCAATTAAGAAAAATTTCAATCAATTAGTTTATCAAAGTTTCCTTGGTGTACTTTATACTCAAAAATTCGAAACCACATCCTTTCTGGTGCACTTGATGCAAGAGATTTTGAGAGAAAAAGAATGAAATTTTACTTGAAAGGCTGGGTTTCCAATTTTTGGGCGGAAAAGCAGCTGACAAGAGATCAGAACAAGGATACTTTGAGTTTTCTTTGAGTGTTCAATGAATAATCATGGAAACACGCTCTTTCTTGTGCACTGATCTTTCGTTTTCCTAGGGAAATTTGACAGAAAACTGCTGAATTAAGGGCACTAGAAGGCTTGCGTTTTTATTTTTCGCTTACTGAGAGGCTGGAATTTATTCTCAAGTACACTTTCTGACTGTTTTCAAAGCCAGAAAGTGTTTCTGTTCTTCAGCTCTCCAGCTCTTTTGTTCTTCAGCTCTTCAGCTCTCCAGCTCTTCAGCTCTTCGGCTCTCCAGCTCTTCAGCTCTCCAGCTCTCCAGCTCTTCAGCTCTTCAGCTCTCCAGCTCACCAGCTCTCCAGCTCTTCAGCACTTCAGCTCTCCAGCTCTCCAGCTCTTCAGCTCTTCGGCTCTCCAGCTATTTTGTGAAAATCGCTGTCAGAAGAGATTTCTTTAAACTTTTAAGCACAAAGTACACTAGTACAGAGTGTCAAAAGTCAAATTGAATTTCTGATCTCTCCCAAATTTCCAAATCAATGATCACGCGTTCAAAGAGCGAGTTTCTTCCTCGTTTTCTGTGCAAAGAAAAAAAAAACGCTTGCTCTCATTTATATTTTTTGTTATATTGCTTTTGTGTAAGTGGTCTCATCTCTCAAAGCCTTTTTTTGCATCTTTTCACAAAATTTATCAGATTTTGTGTGTGGAAAGCGGAGGCAAAAAAAGCACTGAAAAATGGCACAGTCACAACACGATTCCCGAATCTTCCTTCACATGAAATTCAGCGAGTTTTCGTTGACTCAAAGGTCAATTTTGTTGAAAAAAGTGAAAGATTTGCTTAGTAGATTATCAGATTTAAAAATCTTTAAGAAAAAAAAAGACAAATTTTGCTAAATAGTAAGCTAGAAATAGAATAGAAAAGGGGATTTTTGAGAAATTGCTTTTAAAAAGTTTTTAAAGTAATACACAAAGTAACAAAAAAACTTTTTAGATAAGTGACAATGGTGTGTAAAGTTGTGCTGAAAATCAAAGCACAACTTTTCTAGGCGTCCTTTTATGGCGATAGCGATAACATTTATGGTCGGGGTGAACTTGGTGGCAAAAAAAAAAAAAAAAAACTAATAGCTTTACGTCGGCTATCAGTCTTTAGTTACAGTCGACTGTCTCTATAAGGGAATGGAAGGGGAAAAAGAAATTTTCCATTATATAGCGTCGGTCGGGGACGAAATTTTCCAAATCCCATCCCGTTCTATAGAGTTTTCCGCTATATACGCTATATAAGCGTGCATTTCTTTGGAGCGCAAAGTCTAAGCTATCTTGCATCTTTAGTACACGACTACAGGGTGCGCCAAAAGTTCCCGTACTTCTATTTTCTGCATTTTTGGTAATTTTAGATAAAAGATACAATTTTAAAAGTAAGAAATTCGAATTCCTTGCGAAAAACTGATTTAGAAAACGTTTCTGGTTAATTTATAAGTGCAATGCTATCTAAGACAAGTGATTGAGAAGAGGGTCCACTCAGGGACGCTTTGGTCGCACATTTTTTTGGGGCTTCAGGCCTTATGGATCAAAAGATTTTCAAGAGCCAAGATGTTTTTCGAAAACTAGACATAAAATGTGACATTTTTTATATTGGGTGTATAAAGTTTTGGTCAACGACCGAGTCGGAAGTCAGGTTAGAACTTGGTTTTCCCATACAAATTTCCATCAAAGGAAATAACTGTAACTTTGCCATGTAATTGTGCCCTGTAACTGTGCCCTGTAACTGTGCCCTGTAACTGTGCCCTGTAACTGTGCCCTGTAACTGTGCCCTGTAACTGTGCCCTGTAACTGTGCCCTGTAAGTGTGCCCTGTAACTGTGCCCTGTATCTTTTATCTAAAATTACCAAAAATGCGGAAAATACAAGTGCGGGATCTTTTGGCGCACCCTGTATTTTCGCTATATAGAGTTTCGTTATAGAGAGAGTCGACTGTACTATGTTCCTTTGTCCTATTGCTAATACTACTTGAAAGAATTATCTTCTTTTTGAGAGTTTCCCTTTATCAGCCTTTGCTCTTTAAATTTCAAGTTTTATTTTTCTTCTAGGGAAAGATGCCAAGAAGGTTGCGTCATTTTTCGAAAATGACAAGCCGTATGGATGGACGAGAGGGGGAAAATGAGGAATGGGAGGGAAATTTTAGGAAAAGTGGGGACTTTGAAAAAGATATAAGATAAAAGATATTCAGTTAAAGATATTCAGTTAAAGATATTCAGTTAAAAGGTATTCAGTTAAAAGATATTCAGTTAAAGAATTGGATCTTTAAAAAGAGCAATCAGTTACTCAGCGATGTCAAGATTTCAGAAAAACCTTACAATTAGATATTCAGTTGACTCTGTTGTAAAGTTCTAATAGACTATGAACAGGAGTTCTCAAGGAAATCATCTATAAAGATATTCAGTGAAGCTATGTGAACAGATACATTGATAAAAACACCACTTTGCTAAAGTATACGGTCGATTACGTGTGATCAGATTTTTGGGTATTCAGCTGACGTTTCATCAACTCCAAAAAAAACTGTTCTCTCAATTTGCTTTCCACCCAATTAGCTCTTTCAAATCAACAACAAATTAGCTTAAAGGAAATGAGTTAATTACCCATTTTGATATTTCCAAAAAGCGTTTATCGAAAATATTTTTCTAAATTTTTTTTTTTTCTAAATTAAGCTTATTTCCAGGAGCACCTGTTCGCAAAAATTGGAGTACGTGCAGAAAATGTGAGCACAAACAAAACTACCGTAATCCTTTTTCGAAAAAGCAAAGACTATGGACATTCAATGAGCCGAGATGTTTTTCGAAAATTAAAAATATAAAATGTGACATTTTTTATTGGTTTTTTATATTGGGTGTATCAAGTTTTGGTCAACTTTTGCGACTACGCGACTGTACGAGGGCGGTGGGGTACTATTACAGTATTTACGGTATATACAGGGTGCGCCAAAAGTTCTCGTACTTGTATTTTCTGCATTTTTGGTAATTTGAGATAAAAGATACGATTTTAAAAGTAAGAAATTCGAATTCCTCGCGAAAAACTGATTTAGAAAACGTTTCTAGTTAATTTATAAGTGCAACGCTATTTAAGACAAGTGATTGAGAAGAGGGGACGCTTTGGGACACTTTGGGACGCTTTGGGACACTTTGGGACGCTTTGGGACACTTTGGGACGCTTTGGGACACTTTGGGACGCTTTGGGACACTTTGGGACGCTTTGGGACGCTTTGGGACGCTTTGGGACACTTTGGGACGCTTTGGGACACTTTGGGACACTTTGGGACGCTTTGGGACACTTTGGGACGCTTTGGGACGCTTTGGGACACTTTCGGACGCTTTGGGTCACTTTGGGACACTTTGGGACGCTTTGGTCGCACATTTTTTTGGGGCTTCAGGCTTTTAACTTTTATGGATCAAAAGATTTTCAAGAGCCAAGATGTTTTTCGAAAACTAAATATAAAATGTGACATTTTTTATATTGGGTGTATAAAGTTTTGGTCAACGACTGTCGTGACGATCTCGTGATCGAGATTGCCAGCTAGACAGATCTTTTAACTGAATCTCCTTTAACCCGGAAATGGCCAGCTAGACACCTATGTGGACGAACGCCTATTGCGCGAGATTTAATCTGCGTCGCTATCCGTTCAACTCCATTGTGTGGAAGACGAGACGAACGCCCGAGTTCCGTATAAAAGCAATGTGAACGAGCTGCCGAGGTGTGCCGTGGAGTGCCTCTACTCTCCCAATATCAAACCACTGAACCAACTATTATCGCTGTAATAAAGATTATATCTAAAGCAACAATAATCACTACAACGACCGAGTCGAAAGTCAGGTTGCAACTTGGTTTTCCCATACAAATTTCCATCAAAGGAAATAAATGTTCGCAAAAATTGGAGTACGTGCAGAAAATGTGATCACAAACAAACTACCGTAATCCTTTTTCGAAAAAGCAAAGACTATGGACATTGAATGAGAATCGGCAATTCACAAATGGAAATTGTTTTCAAATTAAACTTTCGGGGTTTTTGGGAAATCTCGATAAAATTTTAGTCAAGTTTTTTTTTGGGATTTAAAAATTTGATTGTCTTTTTTTTGTTTTTTGGTGTCACTTTCAAAAGAAATCTGTGTTCTATTTGCTTTGGGAATCCAAATTTAGATTAAATGGCTGAAGTTTGCGCTGAAATCTGATGTGAAAGTGGTAAATGGCTGATTTAAAGGTTCTAATAAAGAAGTGAAGGAATTGTCAAAAAAAAAAAAAAGTAGAGAGGGGATTGAACCTTCAACCTTTTGCTTTCTCTTGCAATTGCTCTAACAACTGATGTATCGAGTCCTTAACCTATCAAGAGAAAGAAGTAAAGACAAGGGGGAAGAGAAAAGGAAAGAAGAAAGAAAGAAAGAAATAATGTTCTGGCTTCTGGCCAACTTAAGGTAGCTTAGATTTTTCAGTTTTCCACATGATCTGCTTATTTTAAGATGCCATGTGAGTGTTTCCTTTGATACTGATAAGGTAGACAAATAAATTTGTTCAATTGTTTAATTGTTCATGAAAAGATATTCAGTTAAATTGATGCAAAAGAGTTTCAGTTTAACCTATTCAAGCGTTTCAGTTAGAGTCAATGGGAGTTTTCAGTTAAAAGGCAGTGATATCTTTGCTATTAGATCTTAGTATTAGATAATATTAGATATTCTTTATTAGATAATATTAGATTTATTAGATAATATTAGATATTATCCTTGTGATCATGTTTTTTATTGTAAAGTTTTACTTGGATACTTTCGATCGAATGTTCTATTTGCTTTGGGAATCGAAATTTAGATAAAATGTCTCAAGTCTGAGCTGAAATCTGATGTGAAAGTGGTAAATGTGAGGTTTAAACGTTCAAATAAAGGAGTGGATTTGTTTGCGATTGGTTTGCGGATTTGGAGAGCGTTTTACAAGGCGATGTTTGCGGATTTGTTTGCGTTCTTGAATTAAACTTTAAACTTGATCAAAACTTTTACGACTTTCAGTCTTTCAACTTTCAAATGCACCAGTCATGGTGATCACTTCAATATAAGAATATAAAGCTATTCAATTAAACTATTTTCAACTAACTAACTACAACTTACTAAGTATACGGTACTTTACGTGCCATTTCTGTGATCTTTACGATCTCCTAGTCTACCGTATCCCAAGAAGTACTTAAAAATTCAGGGGAAATGCCGGATTGGGTGAAAATAGCAAGTGAAAGAGAGGGGAAATGAATTGATTCGAGATCAGATTCTCTTTGTCTTTTCCCCGGGAATAGTAAAAGTTTATTTTGAGCTTAATTTTGGAAAAAAAAGAGGCAGAAAGGTCCTTTGTGTGGATCCAAAAAAGGGAGAAGACAGGTGAAAAGAGCTGAAAATGGGAACGGGTTAAATATAGCCTTGGCCTTTTGTGAAAATTTGAGAATAAAGAATTCTTTCTTTTGCGATTATCCAACTAGAAAGAGAAAGATAGAAGAAAATAGTTAGTGTGGGAGGTTTTCTTTCTTCTTTCTTTCCTTCTTTCTTTCCTTCCTTCCTTCCTTTCTTTAAATTTCAAAGAGAAAAACGATATGACTTATGAAAAA